ATCTTTGTGGAGTCCCACCAAAGAGGGACCACCCAAGGTAGGTGGAGCCCTCGCTGGGATCCACCCTTCTCAATTCACACATCAAAGAGACCATGCCGACAATCACAGGTAAGGGACCATGGATACATAAAAGGGTTTACCGCAATCAATACACCAAAACCAGAGTGAAGATGCGGCTAGGCTAAAAGGGATACATAAGAGATAGGTATGAGTTCAACTGAAATACGTGGGAACCAAGAAGAATTATCAGGAGACAGTGTTGTGGTTGAGGTTGATTAGAGGAAATTGCTAATACAGACGAAAATTGAAAAAAATAACCTCTAATATAAGGGTACCGGAAGTTTGATAGCGGTTTGGCTAATGATAATGGAAATCGGTTCAGAATGACGGCTTTCGTTAGACTGACGTCACCATTTGAAGAGTTCTCGAAATTAAGGTGCGTCAGCCATAATTTGATCACGGTGCAGTACTTAATTCTTATAACAGGAAGATGATTGCGGAGGGTGCTCCGAAGTTAAAGGTTTTATGGAAATGTATTCTGTAGCAACACTTGGCTGAACCAATCCCTTCAAATCCATATTAGTGGTACCATGACCCAAACTTATTGATTCACTTATTCAATAGTTTTAATAGTATTACGGTTTGAGCAACTGAGAACGAATATTTCAAAACTTGCATAGCCCTCAAAATTCCCTACGAAACGAAACTAAAATCATCTCAAAACCTCAATTTCAACGGAATTTACGCATCTTTGAAATCTTAAAAAAAAAAAGCATACTTGCAAAATTGGGGGCCGGCCCGGCCCGGGCTGACGACAAAACGGGCCGGGCCGCTCGGCCCGCTTTTCAACTGACAACGAATTTTTCAAAATTTTTTTGGCTGAAAATAGCTTTTTCACTACAATTTTTAGCGAAAATAAAGAAATTTTTCGAAAGGCTTTCAGAGCATTATAATCAAGCAAGATACGGTGGAAATACAAAAAAAAACATGTTTCTTTTTCGGTCTCTCACTCTTAACACTGAAAAAAAAATTATGTTGCTGTAACCCGGGCCGAGAATATTGGGACTTCGGCCCGGCCCGGCCCGGCCCGTTGCAAGTATGAAAAAAAGCGAGAGAACGAGAGACGCCAGAGAAAGACGACTGTTTCTTTCTCTGCCACTCCAACTAGAGACAATTCTGCAAAATCACAAAGCTACAAAACTCTTCTATTGAAGGTATTCGTGTCAAAAACCAGTCAATCAATTACCAATCTACTATGCCCCCACTACAGTAACCTTGATCCATCGCCCTCTGTTTCCAGTCAAAAACCAGCTTCTCCTCCTTCACCTATTAATTCTGTTCGATCACCCCTCTACTCTCGAAGAAATGCATCACGCGGGAGGAGGTAACCTCCCGACCTGCCAATGCATCTTCTTCTCCCTCTCTAAAAGCTAAAAAGCCAGTATGATGTAACTTTTTTTTGGAGGGAGAAGAGGGAGGAATCGATGTTCAGTCTCGACGTCTTCTACTTCTTCTTCACGGACTTCTGCTTCTACTTCTGATGCGCATATATGCATCAGAAGAACCGGTTCTTTCTCAGAGTTCAGAGGGGAAAAGAGAGTGAGAGATGAGGAAATAGGTGAAAGTGTCGAGAAACAGAAAAAGAAGGGATGATCGAGAGGAAGAGGGCTACTGTTTTGCTTGAAAAGAAGGAAGCTGTGAATATTACAAAAAATCGTCATGTTGTAAGGGGTTATCTGCTGATTACAATTGACTGAAACCACTCTTCATGGTCATGATTACAATTAGTGGTCAGAAATTAGGAATCGAGATCTTATTCTGATGTCATTTTGTTCAAGATCAGGGCTATTTTAGTTGTGAATAATTAGGATGTCTTGTATGCGAAATCTATGAGAATCGATTTGAAATCATTGCAAAATGAATAGAAAGTGCAAACAAAAAATTTGAAAAAAAACTTGCCACTAGTGGGTAGTGAACCTCGAACTCAAAAATTGTTAACCGGAAGTTTTACCTCGACACCACGAGAGTACCTATGACGGTTTCAAAAGAAAAGTAGTGTGGTTGTGGTGAGAATGAGATACTATGGAATGAATAACTGCAGCTAGAGCAATGTTAGAGGCGCAGAGGGAGTGAGGAAGCTCAGTAACCTGACAGAAAAAATAAAGAACTGTAGAACTGAAATAGTGGTACTTCTATTTGTGTGTTGCCATATAGAATGACAGATAAAGTGCCCGCAAAATAAATGAAGTTGCAAAAAAAAAACCTCACTCCTACGATTCTGAACTCCTCATCCTCTTCACTGACATACCTAAATGAACCATTCTCCATACAAAAACCCGTCAGTGCCCCAAACTTTCCCACACTAATCTGCATGTTTTGACACATACTGACAGTTCTCAGTTCATCCTTTACATTGAACTGTTAAGACTCTTGTTGTTATACACCTGTCGGTGAGATCAAAAGGAGGTCACTAGGTGTTTCTTTTGTCGGCATAGCAACTCACAGTTTCAAGTTAGGGACTACAAGAGCAAAGGGACTGGGGTAAGGTAAGGGAATAAAAACCCAAAACTGTTGAAAATTGGGATTCCTGTAAAACTGAAATACCCATAAAAGAACATGCAAAATCACCAATTTGGCGATGGAGGGAGGGATAGTAAATGTGTCCTTCTCGTTCATTTCACAGCTTCTTCTTCCCCTTTTCTTCTTGTTCTTCTTTTCGGTTCATGCCCTCTCTCTGACATACTATCAATTTAGCAATCTTTATGTTCTTCTTCTCCCGATTCAGTTGCGAGAGGCGAAATGAGAGTGTGAGGAAGAGAAGAAGTAGCAAATGGATTGATGATCCATTGTGGGTCATCATCATGACGACTTGATATCAGAAGAGGCGTGAGAAACCGTGATAAAAGGGCGAAAGGGCGTGGGGATAAAAAAGAAAAAAGGGATTTGACCCCAGCGGGGATTGAACTCAAGGGCAAAATAGTGCAAGGATCAGAAGTAAGGTACTGCGCCACATGCCATGAATTGCAGGGGCACGATGCAATAACCGAAGAAAAACCGAGCGGGAGAGGGAGCACAAATCGAGAATAACTACAGTAAGAAGTGAAGTACATAATAGTATGCACAGTAAGGCGAGAACTGAAAAAAAAACCTCTGAGTATAAAATCCATTATCACTAGCCAATCTGACGGTTTCCCTGACCTGGCCTTATATTAGAGATTGAAGAGACTGACTAAATAGTACAAGACCTTCTAAAGAATCCTTCAGAATCAAAGCTGCAATCTACCCTGCAAAAGGCCCAAATGCCCTGTCTAAACTACCAAAACCACCATTTGCAATGCCACCAAAAAAACTAAACTACGGTATAGATCCAGGTCGATCGGAAGTGATGACACCTCCTTTCAGTTTAATATAATAGTCTCGTGATTCTGTCTACTACTTATTATTTTTTTTGCAATTTCAAACCAAACAAGCTTTACTACTATTACTAGTTCGTTCGTTACACACACTTTTAGATGGTCAACTGTAAAAAACACACACATACACATCACCAAACAAAAATAAACAAAAAATCATCTTAGCAACGGGGGGTTGGGAGCATCGAAGCCTTATGATTGCCCTCTTATGCTGCATCAGCTGTTCACTGCGTGGCCGAGTGGCTACCGCTCTTGGTTAAGATTTTCGACTCCCTGGTTCAATTCCTCATGGTGGCAAAATCTTTTTCTCAAGATTACGTAAAAGGTCAAATCAGCGAAACTACCGTGGTCTAGACAGCTTCTCGTTATCTCACACTCCCATATAAAAAGGTCATAAAATCTGATAGAGCGTGACTGATAATGACTGATAATATCTGGTATCGAACGTGAGAAGCTAGGTTTGATAAGGTAGGGGAGATCAAGGCTAAAAGGAACTGAGTTAAGGGAACAGAAGATGTGAGTCAGAGGGAGGAGGAACGTCATCAAGAATAGCAAAAAGGTAATGAAAATTGACTCACCACCAGAAAAACTATCCGGGTGTTCAGAGGGGGCGAAGTTGCACAGATGAGATCCTTGACAGCGGTGGGCGGGTCGGGGGCGGTCTGAAATGAAAAGGTGGATATGAATATGAAAAGGAAACTGATGAATTTTGAAGAGAATGGGATTTTTAGGGAGTTTAGGAACAGATAAAAAATTAATTTTGGCGAGGATGTCAGGGACCCGAGAGAGTTGACTGGAAATGGGACCAAGAGTAATCTGATAGGGCTAAAGGTGCTTGACATGCTTAACATCCAAGAAATGAAATCTTGGCCTAAAATTTCCTCAAATGTTCTGTTTCCATGACAACTAATACGGTTCAAAAAACCCCGCAGAACTCGCGAAATTAAACCAATTACGCTCAGTTTCCAGACGACACCTTCAATACAAAGGCAACAATTTTGATCTCCAAAAGCTTCTAGCCACAGTATCCTCACCATTCTGAGTCCCTCTCTAAGCTCCAGAGTCCTCTAGAACTCATTCGATTCTATCAAAATGCCTACAGTAACACAAATCTTTCCACTCACCAAACACTATCCAAAAACCGAACACTTTCAGTCTCGACAAAAAGAGAGAACATACATCTATTTACTACTCTTCCATTTGCCCCCTTCCCCTACCATCTTTCTACAACTATAACTACTACATTTCGATGCCAATCTGCTGTTTCTGTTCACTCTAAATGAGACATCAAGAAGACGAAGAAGAAGCAGGGGAGAAGAGAGAGGGAGAGGAAAAGTCTCTCTCTTTATATATATATTTTGGAAATAACCGGTTCGATTGCGCGAGAGGTCGTCTCCCTCAGTTCAAGCCCTCCCTCCACTTAACCTCTCTCTCTTGGCTTCTGAATATGTCAATTCTCGAGGGTGGGGACAAAAAACCGAAATCACGGGACTCGAGGAAATAGTTTGAAACCTTTGAAACCGAAAAATGAACGGACTAAGGTTGCCGAGCATCGAATAAAGATTTACAAAAAGTAAAAACAAATTAAGCCTGAATGGGGGTCGAACCCCGGACTCCAAAATGATAGTGCAAAGCGTTAGCCACTGCTCCACACAAGCAGCGACACGATGGAGAAGACAGGGCGATAAGAAGGCTGAGGGCCACATTCAAAAGAGGAAGGGGAGGTATCCGAGACAACAGCTGCAATAAGACAACAGTGAAAAATGTACCTCTAATAGAACGGCACACCTAGCTACCCCTAAAACCCCTCGATGCTTAAAATGCGATATTTGAAAAAGGAGAAATGTATTTGGGAGGAATTAAAAAGTTAATAGGGTTATCTTCCTCCTCTCTTCCCTCCATCAGATTAAATCTCGGCCTCCAAATAGGAATTTTTGGAGGAGGAGGTGATCATCATCTTCTTCTTCTTTTACTAAAGCTGCATCTGTCTCATCACAGTAGGTGGTCTCGAAAAATGAAGGAGAAAAGGAATGGAAAGTGAGTGAATTATTATAAGAGGGAAAAGTGATATGGGGGTGTTCCGGGATAGGCTCCGCCCACTTTTGAGGGAGCCTTGAGCAACTTGCCCTGTCTTTGCCCAACGCTTCCCTTGCCCAATTAGTCCCCCTGGGAACGTGTCGCTTTGTTGTCATAAAAATTACCACATCGTCAAATTCACTTTTCCAAAGAGAAAAAATCTATGGGGGGTCGAAAAAAAGTACGGGTGGTCCCCCATGTCCCACCTAAACAACCGGAAGTGTTAGGAAAGGTGTGAAAATAAAATAGGTTACTGTAGACCAGGAGAGCACTCAGATTCAATCAAAAAACCCCAAGAAATCCAATTCTATCCTGACAAGATAAATTCCATGGATTTGCAAATTCTAAAATTGTTGCTACATTAACCCAAATACCGTACAAAATGGGAAAATGAGATGTGAGGGTGTCAACAGGTGTGTGGAGTTCATTTGGAGAAGACGAAATGAGAGAACAACCTATCATTACACCAACCGATTTGGTAATGGTAGGGGTGGGACGCTTGTTAAGGGAATTGGAAACACTAGGGAGCAGGGATAGAAGGATATTGAATTTTATTAGATGATTTACAAGTTGTAACTAAGTTTTTGAGGGCAAGATCTAGGCTGATTGTCTAAAATGTCCAAAACAATGTTATCGTATCGAGCAATGAGTACGATGCATTTTTCAACAGACCAATGTCATCACTGCCAACGGTATGCTGAAATTCTAGCATGCCACTTTGCAAAACGATGGAACAATTTCAGACAGTTTTCCATGTCCAACAGAGCTCATACTTGTCTAGTAGGTTCTACCTCGTAGTGCAGACAGTAGAGATTTTTGTGCACTGCCAGAGAGCTTGTGGATTCAAATCCGTCATAAACGTTCAACATCTCAAAATCAGTGCTATCCAAACACTAGATTAGAACTTCGGTTGACAAAGAAGAGACGCATGAAGTCAAATTTTTAAGAGCACTTCCTTATCCTACAGGAGATGAGCATGCAAGCACCTTCTTTCTTGTAAAAAAAAGAATGTCAAGAAGCTTAACGATTCAGCGATATGTCGCTAATTTTGAATTGTTTTCAGGCAAAAATCAGTAAAACTGACTATCCCGAGTTGCTCATCGTCTTTGCGATGTAAGGAGATCTCATGAATTTGAATGCTCTAGCTTTGTGTGCTGCTCTTTGAAACTGTGAGTAGCAGGAAAAATGAAAGTTCTAGAAACTTGACAAACGGAGAGAACGCTCTAATAAGAGCTCTAAAAAACTAGATATAGAGAAACACAAGCTCGTAAGTGCAAATACAGATGTCAAAAACGAAGAGAAGCTAGAACAAAAAAATCGTTTCTAAACAAGATACAGTAAAAAAAGAAGCAACCGAAACCAAAAAAAAAGCGTCATCACCAGAACATTGTTGCCTATTCCGCCTCCTCCTCCGTCACTTTCCGTTCCTCATCTCGACTCCGCCCACTTCTTCAGAGAAGGAGGAGTCTACCGTATACCGCCCGTCCTCTTTCAATCCATCACTCTCTCTCGTGTCGTCGTGTTAACTCATCGGCACGCGTCCTGAGAGAGTTGACTCCGCCCATTTGAGGAAGAAATAGTATAGGAGAAATGAGAGACGAAGAAAATGAAAAATTAGGAGGGAGAGGAAGGGAAATGAATTTGTCGCAAAATCGACTGTGCGAAGCGGGCAAAAGAAACAAGAACATGGAGGTAATGAGGACCGGAAATTAGTTGAAATTGAGAAGTTTCTAGGGGAAGAAGGTGCACTTTTATAGAGGGGAAGGATAGCGGAATCGGGGGAAATCTGGAGATGTGATCAAGCTACCTAACTCAAAAGTCTGTGGGTTTCTTACAGAGGTCAAATAAATTGAAAGTGATGGAAGGTTTGTGAAAATCGAAACAAGTGAAATTTTTTCAGCCCTCCAGATCAAAATTATTTGAGTTTACTTTATGAGTATGGGTTGACTTTTTATAGAGCTGCGCAGTTCAATTGAAATGTGATTCTATCGGTTCAAAATTGACTGAAAAGCATTCAATTCCGCGAATTTGAGGCCTGAACCACCTAAAGTTTAGGCCCTCGTTCTCAAAAATCACTCTCATTTTATCGTATAAAATCACCATGAAATTTTTTATTACTCGCTACTCCGTGAGCGAGTTTAGATCGATAACAAAATGTCAATGGAGCGCATTTGAACAGGTGAACTGTGGAGCAGAGATGGACAAAACTCTCTACTCTCCGTAGTTGCGTAGGACAGTTTCAATTGGGGACGAAATAGGAAAACCTGTCTAGCTTTTTGGAAACGAAAAATTCACTTTAGAGCAGACTTTCCCAGAAAGTTAGTGGCTTGTAAAGAAGCGTTTGATACTGGTCATCTGCCCTCAAAATGAGTACATTTTCGGTTTTGAAACTAGCTAAAACTACAGGAAAAACTAATATTTTTCCTACAGTTTCCTACCAATATTTTCCTTGATTTCTGGGTTCGAAACAGTAAGTTCTACCCCATTTCCAGCTCTTCTTGGCGTATTTCCCTCATAACTACAAAAAAGTTGCTCATTTTTTCCGCCCTTCCCTACCCCAAAATCCCTCAAAACTCCTTCGGAAACCAACTAAAAACTCACAACTTTTTCGACGATTCCTGTCCGATTCCTCTCAATGTGTCCTTGCCTCAGGAGGTGGTCTGAAAAAAATGCATGTACTTAAAAAAAAGTTTTTTCTTATCAATTTGAGACATATCAAGTTTAGACGGCATGCAAAAAACGGAGAAAAAAAAACGAAGAAAAGAGAAAATGATAAGGAGGAAATGGTCATTTGGTCAGGGAGAACTCAAAAAAATGTGAGGGAAAAGAGGGGGAAAATGAGAAAAATGTAGCAAAAAAAAAGGGAAAAAAAGAAAGGTAGGTCAAAAAAAAGTTTTCGAAAAAGAAGGAAGAGGTCAAATAAATCAAACTGATTTGAACGAGGAGTAGTAGTAGTAAGGGTGGACCAAGGAGTTTCTTTTTCGTCAGAAAAGTGCACAAAATTTAGAGCTCAGAGCTCAGAAAACGAGAGTTGAATAGCAGAGGTAGGTCAAAAAATAGACCGTAAAATATCTCAAATTCTCGAGAAAAAAAAGACTGAAACTCAACTTTGACAGTTTCAATTTCAAGATTAGAAGCTTATTGGAGTTTCTAAACTATCAATTTTAGTTTTTTCTATCAACCATACAAATAATCCTAAAACTTCTGTTCCATCCCAATCAAAACCAATTCGCTTTTTTCCGCCCAATTAACCTGTTCTATTTTCATCCAACTTTTAACACAGCATGTGGTCCATTCCTTTTGTCGGTAGATTGCTTATCTTTGGAAGAAACACACACACATGCACCGATTTGTTGTGGTAAGTGGTTGTGTAACAACAACATTGTGCTCCTCTAATGACACAGTTCATTGTTCTACGGTGATTTATTCATGGTAGGGAAGGGGACTCAAACGGATGAAACGGTAGCTAAAGAGTAGAGAAAAAAAGAAAAAAAAGATTTGACCCCAAAAGAGTTTGAACCTGGGGTAGACGGTGCTTAGGCTTAGTGAGTTAACCGCTGCGCCACGAGGTCACAAAAAAGAAAAATAAGCTGGCCGTGATAAGAAGGCGGACCATAGAAAGACAGTGAGAGGGAGAGAGGGAAAAACACAGACATGGCTGAAAGCAAGGAAACGACTAGACGTGCCCTTTCATTACAGGATATTGAAAACATCAGAAAAAAAAAGAAAAAAAGTTTTGACCCCAAAAAAGTTTGAACCCGGGGTAGACGGTCCTCTGGCATGCCTCAATGTTAACCGCTGCGCCACGAGGTTACAGTCAACAACAGTGTCAGCTTGCGGTGATAAGAAGAGGGAAAGAGGGAAAAATCATGGCTGAAAGCATGAAATACACTAGACGTGCCCTTTTATTACAGGACATTGACAACATCATTATTATCCCCTCCCTTCCTCCCAATACCCATAACAACATTAGCACCTCCCCAGATGGCATGAGCCGATAAAGAAGCGTTGAAACCTGTGCCGCCACAAGCCATATAAAACATAAAACACCCACTTTCTGTTGCTGCGCGGGATCTGTCAAAAAGAATTCGGAATGTGAGTATGGAAAAGGTTTTATATGGTTAATTAGTGAGTGTTGTTGGGGGGATGAAGGGATAGATGACAGGTGCAAGATAAGAGACTTTTTGATGAGGGTGTCACCTTTTTATGGGGATTACATGGGAGGCGAAAGGTGAAATGAGTTTAGTTTACAAGGGATCAGCTGGGAAAAGGAGAAATTTAGACTGTTTGGGAATTTTTTGAAGAAAAACAAGAGAAAATTGTGACCGAAACACTGAAATTCCCCCCAATACAACGGCATGTCTAAGTACTTCCTGCTCAATCATATTCCCAAACGGAAGCCTATGCTTTCCGTCTTGACTGTTTTTCCTTCTCTTCTTCTCATAAGCCTTCTTCTTATCACTGTCAATTCTTCCCTGTAAATTTTGCGCCTTCGTGGTTCAGTGGTTAACAGCCTCGCCTCGCAATCTTTTGCCCCCAGGTTCAACCCCCACTGGGCTAAATTCTTTTTTTTTTCTTTTCC